CTGCATAATCCATAATCTTATAGAATGAATTGCAGTTTGCATGTTAAGAATAGTTCTCATGGAAGCTTTTAACTAAGAAATGGTTTTTTTTATAGCATGATTAGCAACAAAAAGCATTGTGCCATGTTTTGTGGAATCAAGTGTCTTTTGACTTCTTGGATTTTATTGATTGAGGATGAAATGCAATTTGATCTCATGGTTACAATCCTCAGTCATGATTCTGTAATAAGTAAAAACCAATTGTTGCATGGTGAAATGCAATTTGGTGTTCACTAATTTGAATATTTTTTTCGCTTGTTTTAGGGCACAATGCATCCCCATCTCCGGCAGAGTTTTCAAGTTTTCCGCCTACAGAAGGAACCCCTGGTGCTGTTAAACAAAGAAGCTTTTCACCAAGCATGCCACCTCAGCCTAACGGTAACTTCCATTTCGCGGTACCAAAAGTTCTTGTTCTCGAGACTTTTTATTGAAGTTTCTTTCTTGACAATCCAGAATCAGATTTACATTCTCCTCCTGCTTTGCCACCACTAATGCCTGTCCCGGTGCCTGGAACCACCAAAGGAGATGCACATTCCTCATCTCCAATTAATTCAATGGAACCAACGCCGCATGATACAGCTCCGCCACCATTCACTATTGAGGAACGCTTACCATCCTTGGCTCCAAGCATTCCAGTGATGTTGCCACCATCTCGTTCATCTGCGTCAACCCAAAATACAGCTCCACCACCATTCCCTTTTGAAGAACATTCACCATCCTTGGCTCCTAGTATTCCAGTGGTGTTGCCACCACAGCATGTTATATGATAGTTTATGAGGCATTTAATACATTTTGGCATGATCATATTAATTTTAGGAACTAAAATATTAAATAGTTAAAGATAAGGTTGATTAAACATTATTGTTGAAATCAAATACAACTTATAGGTAAATATATAATTATCATTTAGGAGATATATCTTGGGAATATTTAGATTAATATAGAAAAAGTAAAGCTCCCGTACTTAAAAACGAATATTATCCAGGTTAAGCTCGCTGCTATGTACAGCTTGAAATAAGCATCCAAAGCCTATTCATCAATAAAGCTGTCGAACTCGTACAAATGGATTTCATGGGGTGAAAAGGTAAAAGGCTTTAGTCCTACATTAAATGCCAAACCACATAGTGAATTATACGACATAACAAAGAAAATAAATAAACCATGACACTTCTCTCTGCTAGTTCAGAGACTCATAAATGTTGATGTCAAAATTTCGAATACCCTTATCCAGCTTCAGGGGTAAAAAGGCCAGAGCGAAGGTGTTACATCTTTCAAAAGGCCTTCTTTATGCCTCTGTAACTGGGTACTCAAACACAACATCCTTTCCTGCAAGCTTCCTATAAACGACTGAAAAAGTTTCAAGCTTGTATTCTGTGTTGTTCCGTTCCTTGGGGTCCAAGGAGACCTGTAGAAAGCAAAGAAAAAAAAACCATTTAGCATTCAAAATAACAATGATCTATGAAAGACAAGAAGAATCATGATTTTACACATCCAATTGAACAGAATATGAACTAAGATTTCTCAATTCAAATTATAACAGCAATGTCGTACCTTCATTATCTTTGATCCATCAATTCTATATCGGGTGCGCTTCCCAACAATCTCAGCCAGGCAAAACAATATCTTCTAGCATTGCCTCATGGACAGTAGTCAATGTGCGGCTACGTGGCCTTTGAACAGCAGAACCCTTCTTTGGAGGCCTCAATATCCTTCGGGTGGCAATAAGAATCACATCATATCATATAGGCATAAGCTAAATTAAAGATTAAAACCAAGAAGATGCACATATGCTCATCAATAAAACCAATTGAATGATTGATACTCATCATTATAAGTACAACGGAGAAACGTGTTGAACAGTAGAGACAAATCAAGTCAAATTTCTCGAGGAACTGCAATGTGTAAGAGTCTGGAAAGAAGCATCCCAGCAGTTGTATTTTATGCAGAGCACACAAATTAAAAACAGTAATGATTTTTGTAAAAATGGCAATGTACTTAATTATAAATTGAATACCAACATCAAGTTCTCATTCAAACTGCCCTCCCACTCAGTGTTCCATAACAGAGAACGAAACAAAACTGAAGGAAATGTAGCTTAGTCCTTTCCTCACCTTGCCACTGAATTTCTTTTCAAGTTCCCTCACAAGCTTAACATGAACCTTGCGAAAAGCTTTCCTCAATCTGTAAGGGACATGGATAACAACAGCTTTCCGGCTCCCAGAAACATCAATCTGGCTGCAGATGAATAAGTCATTTAATCATATGATTGACAGATGCAAGTAACTTTACAATTGCATCCCAATGAATCATTCTTACATTGCAGAGTTAATGTAAAGATCTTTGAGGTCACTTTTCAGATCCTGGTTGGTATTCTCCAAATCAAAGAATGCCTGTCATAGAAACACATGCACACACAATGGAATTAAACCGGGATTGCACATTCTTGGGGGTCGGGAGCTTTATAAATTAGACAAACATTAGAGCTATTCAAAACCTGGGCAACTAATTCTTCAAATTCAGTTGGTTCAACATCCTTATCTATGTGGATCTTCTTCCTCGATGTATACATCTTCGAGATCTAGATTGCAGGGTTGATAAAAAAAAGTGAAAACAAATTTCCACAAATTAAAATAAAATTACAAATCATATTGAATTAGAAACCTGATGAAGGTATACAATCAACATAAATATGTTTCAAGAAGACATTACTAATTTCACTAAATATTTTACAAGGTAAGACCCAACTCTTGGAACTATAGCTCAATTAGCTTAAGAAGAATGGATGCATTATACCAATGCCAAGATTCAACAAGTTTGAAAATAGATAAAGTTTTCAATGTGTTAAATTGCCGGCTGTATCCTAGAAAAGGAAATAAAATAAAATAAAATCAGCTAGTAAAATTATGGATTTCAAACAATTTTTCACTAAATATTTTACAAGGTAAGTCCCAACTCTTGGAACTATAGCTCACTCGATTTTTCTTTTTCCTGCAATTTACAGGCAAGCAAGCAATAGGACAATGAAAGGAGGAGTACCTTGGCAAAGAAAGGCAGAGACGACTGAAAACAGAAAATTAAAGCGGCTCAGTAGAAAACCCCTAGGTTTGCACCCAAAATAGACCTTTTATAGTGTGACAACGGAACCCAAGCCCGCTTCTTTCGATTTAATTTGTTTACATTTTAAATTAGGTTTAATGCAAAAATAATAATTTATATTTATATTTGTATAATTTTAAGTATTTAAAAGAATTTTTTGCTCAATTTTATATTTCTATATTAATTAATTTCAGGATTTAAAAGATTTTTTTGTTGCTTAAAATAGATATTTAACGTTTTTAATATTACTCTTTCAAGTGATTACATTGTAATCACTGTTAAAAATCTATTATCTAACATTTGTCACTTTTAATATCTTTTAAAATTTTAATTTGAAAAAAGCATAGAAATATTAGTATTATTTTTCAGAAAGACCCAATTTTTTTTAAAAATCCTAAAAAAGACCCCATCCCTCCATCTTTACCTTCGATCGTTACGGCGTAAACACTTAAAAGATTAATGATAGAAACGTTAAGAACCTATTTTGAATGAAAAAAAACTTTTAGGCGCCTAAAGTTAACTTAAATATAATTTATGCACTGATTTTTTATTAAGTCTTTAAATTAATTATTAACAAAATTATATTTAGTTCAATTTTATTAAATAATTAATTTGTATATCCGTGAAATACATGAATTAATTGCTTGGTATTTATATATTAATTCATTTTTTTACTTTAGATAAATTATAATCATTTTAAATTGTAATTATTATAATTTAAAAATGAAAACATATCTAACATTATTTATTCTAAAATTATATATTAGCTAAATATATTGTACCTAATTAGTTCATATAAATGAACATGATATCTATTGTACATAGAAATAACTATATGTATTATTATTTTTATAAATATTATATATTAAAACGAGTAAAACATAAAATTAAATCATGAAATTAATTTATTTAAAAAACATGACTAAAATAGAAAAGAGTAAAATTTACCCCCAAAGAGAGTAATTTACCCTAAAAATGTGCAATAAATATTAAAATATTTGATTAAACATTTTTTAAGTATCAATCTAGATTAGTCTAAAGTGGTTACAAAGTAATATATGTTCTAAATATTCTTAATTATTTGACAATGAAAGCTCAAACACCTTTACAATCTTTAGTGCTCGAACTTTGGACCTCTAGAGATAATAATCATCTTTTTAAGTTTTAATCACTGAGGTAGATTGGTTCATCAATGATTAATATTTCTTAATACTTCACTAAGCTGAGTATATATATTTTGTGGGTTTTTTCTTATATAATACATAAAAACTCATAATTTAAAAAATATTGAATGAAGACTCAAATCATTCTTTTAAGGTTTATATTTACATATATATACTAGGTTAAGTTCTTCTAATAATATATTTTTTTCATTCACAATATTTAAATTCTAGTTTTTATTTAAAACATATTAGACTTTTTATCGATCGATTTGATAAAAGTAAAGAATGTATAACATCTTCTACATAAAGACTTCCATGATGAATTTTGCGGGAATTATTTTTTTCACATTGGTACTGATGTTTGATGCTAAAAGATTTATATAATAATTTCTCATGAAATAATTTAAATACCAAAAAACGATAATTTTATTGTAGTTCACGTACGTAATTTGTAATTAAATAGTCAAACATACAGAAGTACACAAATCATATCTGTGAATTTGCAATATGAAATTAAATTAGAAAGGAATAAAAGTATAACAAATTGTGTGACCAAAAAATAAATTAAAGAATAACATACATATGTACATTCTCCAATGAACGTAAATTACAGCGGTATACTAAAATAATCAAACTTTGTAGCCAATTCCAATTAATGCAAAACTGGCTACCATATGATATATGAGGGACAACAAATTCAGTATAATTTAATAACACAGAAGATCAATGATGAATACCAGACCCTAAACAAGAACTGTGACCAACTGCAGCTAGTTGAGTTATTTACACCTTTTTCCTGATAGGAGGAGGCTTGATTGCACTCGAGCTTAGACTCTTTTTAATGCCTGTAAGGATCGGTAGAAGATAAATGTTAGGAGGATACCATGTAAAGCTGAATTCAGATGCTGGTTGCATACCAGGGACACCCATTGCAGAATCTGGTCTCGGTGCTGGTTGCGGGGTTGGCGGTTTTTGTAGAAGTCGAATCTTTGATGCGACCCTGCTCCTGCAAAAAGTTAAACTCGTATTGAGTGTAGCTTATTGAAAGAAAGAAAGAAAGAAAGTGATCACATTTGTGATATTCTCAATGAAATCAAACACACATTGGACATCCAACCATGCATTGCTAAGTGTAGCCAGATCAAATGAATATTGATGTGCATATTCTAGATTGGTGTTAAGCTGAAAGAGCATAACCAATACTCACCTCCCCGGAGTACTGCCTTCAGGAGAACGCGGGTATTCAGCTGAGCCTTCAGTTTCTGTTACCAAAGAAAGACCAGCGTCGGATATTTCCGATTTTTCATCGTCCGTGGACTGCTGGGATTCAACTTCAGACTGCTTATCACTGTGAACGATAGTCAAGATCAGAAGCTTCTTTCTCAGTATGTTCTAAGCCTTTTTTTCCCACAAGAGATGGGTTTGGATTCACGAAGAGATCCACCTATAGAATAGAGGAAGAACCATACCTCAATGAGACTGTTCTGTGGAGCTCGCCGTTGTTGCCAGTGTATCCACTTTTTAGATCTTTAAGTAAGTGCAACCGCTCTATCTCCTCGTTCTTTTTAGCTACCGTGTCCTTGAGAGCTGCCATCTGCAGATCGGTTAAACTTAGAAAACAATAATACAATGGCCTACACAGATGGTTCAAACAGATAAAGCACGATTCTCATTGATTAAAAGAAAATGGAAAAGGACGAAGGCAGAGCATTGTTCAAGTGAAGAACAAAGGGAAAGTTGTTGCTAGAACATGATTGATGTGATAGCCCATCTACTAAATCTAAATAAAATGCCTTTGAATGCTTTCATTGATCCAAAAAGTCTCGCATCGTTGCCAACTGATATGCCCCTTTCATTTCATGCCTATTGCTGACCGGAGACTCTCATCTATTCAAGCAATATTGATGCTCCTGATTAAGATTAGTCTATTTTTTAAAAGTCTATTGATGAGTAAGAAACCAGACTTTTTGTAACCCTAAACCATAACTAATGATGCTAAGTTGTAGTAAACCCTACTTATAAGTACTAATCCTAACTGCTATATTAAGAAATAAACTACTATGTGCAACAAAGCATAAAACTTTTGTTCCGTGTATCACATTTCTAGTAGTGTTATAGTCCGAGGAGAAACTGCTCTGCGTAGCTTTGATCTTTTATATGACAAACCACTAAAAGATCGTGTGTGTGTGTGTGACTCCAGCTAAGATTTATACTGAAAATTATAAATAAAAAATGTAAAACTACACCTGCTCCATTAGTTCCCTAACTTCCTTCCCCCTCTTTGCTACTTCGTGCAGAACCTAGCTCAACTCCAGAAACCCGTTCGGCGAACTTCAAAGTACTCAGACTTTCGGTGTAGGAATTGATATCTGGATTGAGCTGTACAAACATAAGGGTCTTTGCCTGACCTCCTGGATCGTATAAGAACATTTACATAGAGATCAGTATACGGGGTCTCAAAAACACAAGAATTTAGATGAACCATAACGTTCGTTTTCTCCAAGCAATTAAAATAAAATTTTCATTCTAAAAACTGGAGATGATTTCCGACAGTTTAAGAAAATAGATGAAGTACCAAGAGAGCTTTGAAGTACTTGAGTGAGCTTGCTATTTCTGTACGGCACATAAGCACCCTTTTGTGCAAGAGAGAAAATTACATCTCCAAGGGCAGACAATGATTTATTAATATGTTGTGCTTCCTTAAGCGCAGATCCTGTTACCTCGGATCTATCGACTCTTTCACTGCCTGCTAAATCTACCAAATGTAGATTACCATACAAACAATTTCCCAACTTCAAATCCTTCGCACGAACATGCACGGTGACAATGCTGTAACCAAAAAACTAAATTGTAAGTCACATAGGAAATACTGAAAGTAGAGATCTGATTAAAATACTATATAAGAACCTGTGAGAGCGACTACTTCTTTCATTTATTGCAGTAGCACTAACAGTAATATTCTTTAATCCAACATCAATTAAATCTATTACATCCGAGGTTGATAGAACAGGGTGCATGCTAGCATCAGGAACAGCTAACCCATTAGGTTGAGAGATGCTTGTAACCCCCATTGTGTGCAGATTAAGGAAAACGAAGATGACCATACCAAAAGAATAATTCTTTAACTTTAACATTAAAAGAAAAACAGTACATCCAAAGCCAACAAGTTTCAAGACGGTGTACAGCAATATTAGTGAAGCAGGTTAACCAACAGACATTATTGAAGCAATATAACTTGTTTAATAAAAAGGATATTTCTTCCCAGAACCTTTAGCTATTAATAAATCACGCACTTGGTCATTATATATTTCAATCATTTGAACACCAACTTCATATTCAATAGTGGTTCTCCTACTTTGAGATATTTTAAAGAGACTATTCAAAGCACGATAATTAACACCCCAATCCTCTTCAGTAGCATTATTAGGACCGGTCTGGAATTGTCAAAAGGAAATGAATAGAATTGTTCAAAACGTTTATGCAACTTCATAGAAGCTTAAGAATAAAGTGATTCTTACCATTGTATATGTTTTCCCCGAACCAGTTTGACCATAAGCAAATATACAGACGTTATATCCATCTACTACTGACTGAATAAAAGGTTGAATATCTGAAAACACCTCGGCTGTCATTGTTTAAGAGAGCTCTATGAATTAGATAATTGCAATACTTTCGCAAAAAAAATAGATTCTTGTTCATACTGCAAGAAGTACTAGTAAACTAGTGAGTCCCATTCAACCAGCAATATTAATTTGGTGATGAAAGAGATAAAAACCTTGAGTAGCAGTTGGACAGAAGACCTTATTGAACTTAAAGGTCTTATTCCCTTCCTTCCCTGGCTTGGATGGATTTGAAATAACCAACTGACCATTATCACCAATACTGTCTACTATTGTCTTGTTTCCACTTTGTCCAGGAAGAAATGGCCTTATTCGACAGAAAACTCTAATGTTCCCTGGAAATAGAAAAGTTAAAAAAATAAAAGTGATAAACAAAATCACCGAGAATTCAAAAGGAGAAGCTACTTATAGGAACCTTTCAGATCTTGAAGCTCATTGAAAAGCTTCCGATTTTCAGCAAGAAGTTTACGATAGTTCCCCGCCACATCTGCTAATGCTTTAAGCTTTTTTTCTGATCAAGAAACAGGTTCTCATAAGAACTATTTTCACTAACAATCCAGGCTTCCCAACAAGAAACCTACCTAATTGATTAAATTCTTCAAAATAGCTCTTCTGTGTTTTCAGAAGTTCTTGCTTGATGGCATCAGAAGTAAACCTTAACTCCTGAATACTTGCACAAATTAGCATGAAGGATGTTGAAGAACAAAATACAAATCCAAAATGGTAGAAACCCATATATACCTGTGTTGTACTAAACTGAGAGTCCATATGGCTTTGGTAGATTTTCACTTTCATGTTCCACTTCTGACATTTTGACTCGGTAGTTATTTCAAGCTCTTTCACTCTATTGTTTGAATCAGCAAGGAGAGACTCGAGCTCTTTTAACCTCCCTTGAAGTCCTGCTTTGACACCCTCAGTCTCTTTGTCCATTTCTAAGCAGCGCTTCTCGTGCATCGTTTTGGCCATTTCTAGTTCTTGCTTCAGCGAAGCAATTTCATTAATATATTTATCAGTTTCTTTCACCAACTCTCTTTTATCCTCCCTCACCTCCTCAACTTTCAGTTTTTCTTCCACTTTGGAGTTCTCAACTTTCTGTGTTTCTTCCACTTTGGAGTTCTCAGCTTTCTGTGTTTCTTCCACTTTGGAGTTCTCAACTTTCCGTTTTTCTTCCACTTTGGAGTTCTCAACTTTCCGTTTTTCTTCCACTTTGCAGTTCTCAGTCTGCAACAAAGAGAAAAAAACCTTCATGAACGAAATAATAATATTGAAAGATATCAGTATTGCATGAGCTTACTTTCGTTGGCAATTGAAAGGCGCATCCATTCTCGAATCTTACCACTATATCTAAAAAATATATATTATTTATTTTGTTTAGCCAACTGACAATAAGAGTGATATAAAAAGTTATAACAGGGAGCAAAAAACCTCCACATCCGGGGTACATTGGAGATTGTGATTGGTCAATTCATTAAATTCGTTTAAAAGAAACTCATTTGAGAATTTGCAATAAGTAATGGATAAACAACATGGAAAATAACAGCTAAATAATGACGCCTGTGAAAGAATAGCACAAAATCAGTTCATGGCTGTTGAACAACGTGAAAGAATCTTTTTTCTTCGAACCTTTGTTTGCTGAGGATGGTTTGTGACAGGCTGTAACAAATAAGGCCATGAAAATACACAGTTTAGCATCTACAAGCAAAACAGAAATTCATTTTTGACTACAAGAATTTTTTTTTCTAACCTTAGTCTCTTCGCCACTATAAGCTGCAAGGGCCTCAAGTACTCTGATCCTTGATTGGTATTTCTCCTCTCGAATTTTGAAAAGATTGTTTTTCTGTAGGCCACAAACCACATTAAAATCCATAGAGAAACTGAGAAAAAAGGTATCCAAAGCAAGATATTGAGAATAGGATTTACGGTTCTTAGATGATCTGCTTGAGTTGATATACTCCGTTCAATCTCCTGCACAACTTTTCTCAGGAGACATGCCACACGCTGAGCAACAAAGGTAATGTCATCATGTGTTTATACCAAAATATCCATATAATATATAAGCATACAAATGCTTTTGTAAAGAAAGTTCAAATATTCCATACATGAGGAATTTTTCCATTCGTTCTTTCAAAAGTTTCATCCAGAATTCCATTCACAACACTTAAAAGTGACTGAGTTGGAGCATTCTGCAAGCAGAAAAATGTGAGAAGCCACTAAACATACAAACAACCCCTTTGGTTACTAAAAGGTGGAAGGCTAATCAAAACATATGTACAACACGGTGAATGTTAACAACTTACATCTAAATTGCTTGACTTCATCATCTCTGAAATTTTCGCCGCCGGGAGATCTGCATAGCGCCCTTGTTTCCATTGAAACACCTCATAAAATTTTTGTCCACCATGAGGAAGCCCTGTAGTTGATTGTTCTGCAGAAGGTGAAAAAAGCATAAAACATAAAGGGCAACTTAATTGCATTTAATTATATTTATATATGTGAAGTAAATGGATATATATCTGTACACATTGGCAGTATATTTACAAGGTTGGTGTGCCATTGTTTTTGTGTTCTTCTGCATAACGAAACCATCCAACTAAATAGCCAACCAGTTAACTAGAACTGTACTTAATATTATACATTCATTACTTATATAGTATTGTACTGGTGAAAGGCACATATACATGTTTATGCAGGGGAAAGAGGACAATGCTTTACTTTAAGAGAGTTTGCAACCTACTATTAATTTTCAGGTTTAAGGAAGCCGCCTTCCTCCTGTCTTCTCCAGATAACGGAGTGAGAGGACCACGTGTCGGTGCATCCCCATGAATGCTTCCAGTTTTAATAATATAACTATTATTGTTGTTTTTTTTATTGGGTAATTGAGCTGCTGAGGAGGAAAAAAATGAAACCGCTTAGTTAAACAAATTTAAAAGAAGTGCAGAAAGAGAAGGGGGCAGAAAACGGAATATCAGCTTCCTTTACATAGATTCTCGGGATTATTGTTCGCCATTAGTTCGAATACACGGACATGTGGTTACGTTATAGCTGTCAAGTCTTGATCAGGTTCTAAGAAAAGGTCCTTTGGAGCTTGATTATGAAGCTTTGATCCCCCGTTTACATTCTGCAGAAAGCAGTTCTGATAAACAATTAACTTTAAGTAATGAGCATGTGTTACATTAGAACAGACCAGACAGAACCTAACTCAGAATTCCTACAAAAAGGAAAGGTAAGTATTATTTATTAATAGTTAGAATCATATAGATGTAAGCAAACTAACCAAAATGATACTAGCAATATGTAAGCGATATCCAGAACAAACAGTGATAAAACTCCATGACAATTATGCCGTTTCATTGCAATATTATTCTTTACAGGTATTAAAATTGCAGCAATTATATGAAATGTGACCGTAAGACTGAAATATAAGGAACACAGAAGCTTAACAATTTCAAATATATAGCTGCCACTGGTAATCTGTGCAACCTTGCTAAAATCTGGGTCTATCTTGCAATCACAAAGGTGAAACAAAACAAAACTATACCCATTTATGTTAGCCGAAATCTTCAATTTTCTTAAAATACACGTCCCACACTTGTATCCAACATATTCAGATACACAAATGGCGTATGATACTCCAACGGAAAAACTTAGAAAATATTGAGCACGCAGTAACCTGAATCCTGTTAGCACTTATATATACTCGCTACAGAAAATCAGGTAAAACATGATAGAAAACGGTGAACACAAGTTAAGATTTTCAATTTACAGAAAAGAAGGCATTGAATTTCTATAATCCTATATACAAAGTTAAACATTACACAGTGGACAGTCTAAAGACTTTGATCATCAGCAACATTGTTAAAATACAAAAAAAAAAAAAAAAGCATCGACATTGCCAAGACAAACGAACAAACTGCAAATTCAGAACCTGTGAAAATAAATTACAATGAAATTGTTGGGACACTTCCCAAGTTCAAACCTTTGACGAGAAAAGAGATAGACCCTATCAATGTAGAGCGGCGCACGTTGATCAAATTCAATGGTGCAATGAAGCTTCATTTGGAATTAAAATACATAAATAAATAAAATTGGTGGGAATTTGAAATAATATTTTAATTATTATTAGAAATTGTTTGGCATTTCGTGTACCATTGTCTTTCTAGGGGACAAAAGTTGGAGAAATGAAGCGCCAAAATAGGGAATGGGAAACTAACTCTATTTTTCCGTTGGGTGTGTGCCACGTGTCCATGACCCGACATTGATGCTCCATCATCCACATTTATTAAGCTAACAATTTACCACCAACTTTTTACATTGAAAGTTCTCCACGCAAAATAAAATCACATCAAACTTAATTTTTTAATATAATTAATATGAATTTTCTTATATCGAATTTTGATATCATTTAAAGTCACATTCTTTAGAACTATCAATATTTAATTCATTGATAGATTAATTTAAACTAAATATTATAAAGATTTATTACAAAAACAACTCTTTAAACTCAGTTTTCTTCATTCACAACATTATAAATTAAACTTTTAACTTTTTTTAAAAAGAGATATAAAGTCTTGGTTTTTTCGATATAATGTCTTATCTTTTCCAACCAACTGATAATTTATATGTTTCTCCTTTTTCCTCACGTAAGCTTAGATTAACCGATGTTGAAATGGGTCAAACACAATACAAAAAAAAAATTCGAGACTTTTTTTTATTTAAATGATGTCAAATTTGATTCAATAATAAGATAATTTTACGTTATTTTTCACTATAGCTACTCTATTTGGGCCTTAGCTTTCATCCAACTCTTTGGTTTCCATTCCCTATGAGCGAGATGGGTCATGGCAAAAACCTTAACATGTAAACCCAATAAATTATGGATTTAAATATTAAAAAGGCTTGTCCTTGTTACTGTAAATGAAACTACAAACACCAAAAAAAAAAATCAAGTTACCGCGTTTGAAGAATGAGAGTATAATAAATTCAAGCCTTATTGGTTAATTATACGGGTCATATCTTATTAACAAATAAATATAAATTCATATTTTCATTAAAAATATAAATAAAAAAAATATGACAATTTGAGTTATAGTCAATTATAACTTTATATTATAAATTGAAGTAATATGTTAAATGTAAATCTTAGAAAAATAAAAATGAAATAATATATATATATGAATCTTACATTTAAATATAGTTAAAAAAAATTAGTAGATTATTCATACAAATATACATATCTAATCATATTTTAAATAATTCTAAATTTTATTCGCAAACTCTTGCACATCATATAATTAATTAATATGGAACTTAATTTCAAATAAACACATTTTATCATGTCCAATTCTCCTTGTACATTAATAATGTGTGTGGATTTTATTTTATTTTATTTTTTTCCTTTCGCTTTCCAATATTTCATCTTGACTAATCCGGATCGAGTCAGGTTGTACATTTGGTTGTGGTGGGTGAGTCTTCCAATGGGAATTTTCTGTATACACAAAAACTCGAACTCGATACATGCTTAAGTGATATCAAGTTGCTTATCAACCACTACTGATTTTTTTTAAAAAATAATAATAATTTTGTTATAACTTAAGTATATACTTTGTCTAATTATATAGATGTCATCAAACTTATCATATTTTATAATTAATTAATTTTTATGATAGCTATTTGGATAATTGGATATATATTATTTAATACTTATATTTATAATTATAACTGCAATTCTTATAATTAAAAGAAAGTGGCAACCGATTTGTTTTTTAATGAAACCAACAGCTTAGAATAATTAAGACTCAATTATTTAATGGAATCAAAGTTTATTTCCCCCCCCCCCCACATAACCACTGTTGAGAGGGAGCTAGAACTAATAATTTAATATCTTAGCCCTTTTCACGCCAAAAACTACTAAACCTATATTATGTCATCGCCATTTTTCTAATGTTATGATGCATGGTCTACGTCATTGCTCTTTAGGGTTCCTAAAAAACTCCATTAAAAGGACTTCAATCTTCCAAGTTTAGTCCCATTCCAATTAAGTCAACAAACTTTTCTTTTTAAATAAGTTAAGAGTATTATAATATATGTTTAAAATTTTCTTAATCTATATATATATATATATATATATTATAAACGTCATTATTAGAATCTAAAATTTTAAAAATATCAATATTCTATTTTATCACTAAAATTAATTGATGGTTTATATTAAACTAACAAACTTTTAACCAAATAATTAAGCATATAGATATATACATGGACAAAACTAAGACAAACAATATAAGATGTCAAAATAATGTATTTTGAAATTAAAAATCATTAACAAGTATAATCAGCTTTACCAAAATATACGATTTTATCTTATTAATATAAAAGTCATTTTACCAAGAAGTATTTGCATAAGTGGTTGGATTTGAAAATTTGAGCTTGTAAGATCAAATTCGAATTTTACAATCGAATCTTACAATCGTCACTCTTAATAGATAATATGTAAATCCCTACGTAAATCCTAATTGAATTATAAGTATATCATTATAGAAGTCACCCTTATCCTAAATTTTTTTATCAAAAAAATATGTAAAAAAAACACTTCAATTCTCTAAATAATTTTACTCCAAGACTATTTCTTAATTTTCTAAATCGCGTCATTCCCCTAAATTTATTTTAAAATAACTATTTTGCCTTTGTCTACGATCATATTTATTTTAATAAAGCCTGTACCGTTTCAAGTCGAAAATTAAAATAATTGGTTGTTGTCACATCATATGATGTGAATGGAATTCTATTCCATCTAATTAGTTTAATATTTAATTCTATTAACTATAGGTATGTGGGAAAATTTTAGAAAATTACAACTTATTAGGTTCGGCAAAAGAGCCTTTATTGTCGATGTTGATCCAACTTCATGTTGTCTTTAGAAATTAAAAACAAAAACAAAATAGCATAAATAAAACAAAAGACCTTAATTTGATGATAAAATAAAGTTTGTTAATCATTAAATTTAGACTTATAATTATTTTACTTTTTTAAAAATTTTAATTCTTATGTATAAGCATTTAATCAATTTATTTTGTTGGATAAATGTTGATTCACATATATTATCCAAAGGAAAGGAAGCAGCAAGAGCTGCTACATTATAACCTCAAAAAGAAGACAGATGTCATGGTGGGAGGAGAAGGGCGTGAAGGAGAATTGGGGGAAATGAGACGAGGGTTAGGGATTGAGAATGATAGATTAAGAATTATGGCACGAAAGGGAAATGAAGACAACTTACCTCTGGAGCAGATCAGAAGTGGAGCGGATCTGAAGCAACAAGAACGGCCCAAAGGAATTAAAATAGCTAAACCCAATAGCCCATGTCTGCAAAACAAATGAGAAAGAATTTGAATTTGTTAGATTCAGTTACAAAGGACAGCCAAGTGGCATCCTTAGGATTCTGGTATATTGTAACTAAATAAAACAAGTTGTGATGATGTATTTTTCCTCATGTTATGAATGAACAAGCATTTCTTTTCTGAAAACTCTCTAATTCTTCTCTATTCCTATTACCTATTTCTCGATTTCTCTTCTACTCACCTAAAACCATAACAAATTGGTAATCAGAGCTACGATTCTGGTAGAAATTTTGAGGGCATGCCAAAGAAGAACCAATCTATGGCAGAAACTGATTTAGCTGAGATTCAGAAACAGATTGAAGACCTTGCTGCTTTGGTGAAACAAGGTCAAAATAAGACTAATCCACCTAAATGGTGGGAGACTCAGGAAAACAGGATTACTGCACTTGAGGCTAGGATGACCACGAATCACAGCTATATGGAAGATATATTGAAAATCTTAACTGGCAGAAATGGTGAACAAGAGCAGCCTGCAGGGGATCAGGTATACTCTCCTAATAGATCTAAAAACGGGGAGAAAAATCTTGTTTTGGTGACGGTAGTTAAGGATAAATCAAGATTTTCGTATAAAACTGATGAACCGGGGATCTTGAATGATAAGCCTGATGCTTGTTTAGCCCTTAAGAACAATTCTAGGCATGAGAATTTAATGGGTGAAAACAATAATATTAGACCTGTTATGCTAGGACTGGAAACTGAAAACAGGGGAACAGGGGGGTCATTTAGCAGTTCAGGAACTATGTGGCATTGACCCAAAATAGAGTTGCCATTTTTTGAGGGGGTAAATCCTAAGGGG